CCAATTTATTGATTTTTCGTGAATATACAGGAGTTGGAATTAGAAGGATTTCTGAACTCTCTGTCTCCATCATTGGATCAATACCTTACACAGCTACTGGGTTTGATCATTTTGGATCTGATGTGCATTCCGTATGCTTGGTTTGACCTTAGTAGTTCTCCTGTCATCTTATTACCTGTTATTTCCATCGCATTTGTTTGTCACTTGTGCTGTATAGTATAGATAGTTCATTGTTGAATGGAAAATTGCTTACTGCTTCGGAACCAACTAAACTTTCCAATCAGATATTGTAGTTGACATAAGCAGGGAGCTTTTAAGTTACACTTAATGTTTTGTATTGGGAGTTAGGTTTCCTTTACAGTTCATTTTCCACTCTTCATATGTCTACTCTTAAAATTTATGTTTTTTAGCTCATCCAAATTGATAAATTCTTCTACAGATTATTAGATTTTGTCCGATGGAGGCAACGGGAGAGGGTTGATAGATGCAAAAGATTTCTATGCACGTGGCTGGTACATTGTTGGTATATTGAAACATTGATTATAGAATAAAAACTATTTGGTTGCAACTTATCATAGTCTCTCTCTTGTTTTTGCTTGCTGTTGCACATTTTGAAATAAGTGTAGCTGGCATGCCGATGTTGAATTCAGAGGTTGGTTTCAACTATGTGGTGTATCGGCTTTATGTGGATGATTGTCTTATGCAGCTTTGTCTTTGTCTATATCTCTCTCTCTCTCTCTCTATTTATACAAAAGTACTTTTATCATTTTGAGTAACGATTCCTTAGGAATCCTGAATAATATATTTTTCTGTCAATCTTTTTTTTTGGTATACAGGTTATTGTTTATATTCCGCCTTGTATAAACTGGATGTTTAAGGCATATCTTAACTGGTGGTTCTGCTCTTTGCTCTTCTTGATTTTGTTGGAAGGATCGAATTGGATCACCGGGAATGAAAAATGAGAGACTTTTGAAAGGTTGAACTTTGTTTGCCGGCTAGCTGAATTATCATTGACATTACAAGAAGTTTACACTTCTAGTTGGAGTAGATTGATCTGAATAAGGCATGCCTTTCCCTCACTGGAGTTGAGTTGGGTGATTTTTCTGTTATTTTGTCACCCTTCATTTTCCTTGCAAGTTCTTTGTGACTTGTATGCAGCCTAAGCTTTGGGGAAAAAGATGTTTATGTTGGAGCGAAACAAACTTCTTCTAGAAAAGCAGAAGTCAAGATAAGAAGGAAGCCTTCTTTGGTAGGACTATCTTCCCTTGCTTGAATCGACCTTAGTAGTTTTTCTATTATCAATTAATGCGATTTTCTCTTCCAATATTTCTGCCACTCTGCTCCAGTGAGATCAAATTGGTATAAATGGTGCTTATGTTGGGGCGAACAGAATCTATTAAATACTTGCATTATGACACCACCAACCAGTTGGATACTTGCAGGTCCAAGGATGAATGACTTGTCACTTTTAGCATGACGGGAAATTTACTTGCCTTAGTGGATTAGCTTAGCCATTTCTCTGCTTGAATGGACTCTGGTAGTTGTCATATTATCATTTGATCTTTGTTTCCTTTGCATTTTGTTTGTGATTCGTTTGTGCAGCCAGATCATGAGGGAAGAATAATTAGATGCTTATATTGCTGCAAACTGATTTTTCATTGAATGATTGGAGTTCAAATAAGGAAGACTTTCAAAATTGTACTCAAATCTCTCGGTGCTGGGAGTTTTCTTATTGGTCTCAAATTCATTGACATTTTCATAGATATACAGGAGGCAGAATTAGATGACTTTCTAAACTCTCTCTCATTTGATTAGAAACTTATACAGCTTCTGGTTTTGATCATTTTGGATCTGATGTGCAGTCCTTATGCTTGGTTTGACACTGGTGCTTCTCCTATAATCTTATGTTAGCCATTACTTTCTGTTTGATTTGTTTGGGATTTGTACTTCACAAAACAGACATATCATTGAGAAAAAAGGGGATGCTTACTGCATTGGACAAACTAAACTTTTCTATCAGATACTATAGTTGATATAAGCAGGGAGTTTCTGAGCTACTGTCAATGTCTCATATCTTCCACTAGTTATTACATTTTCTCAGGTGGTGGCAGCGGGGAAGGGTTAATATATGGAAAAGATTCCTAGGCATGTGGCTGGTGTGTTGTTCGTATATTCAAACATTGATAAGATAATAACAACTATTTGGTTGCAATTTATAGTCATCTATCTCTTGTTTTTGCTTTCTGTTGCCTATTTTGTAATAAGTGTTGCTGGTGTGCAGATGTTGAATTCAGAGGCTGGTTTCAACTGTGTGGTGTATCGGATTTACGTGGACAATGGTTTTCTTAGCTTTTTGTATCTCCTCTCACTCTCTTTTTATATACCTGTACATTCATCCGTTTTTTGTAATGTTTCCTTGGAAATCCTTTTAAGTAATTGTGTTGTGTCTTTTTTTTTTTCTTAACTATATACAGGTTATTGTTTACGTACTACCATGCACAATATGGAGATTTAAGACACATCTTACGTGGTGGTTCTACTCGTTGCCGCCTTGATTTTGTGGAAGGGGTCAAATGTAAGTCGGGAAGGAAAACGACAGACTTTACAGTTAACAATTTGGTTTAAGATAACACATGAATGATGCAATACTATTAAAGTTCTAGAGGTTGTTCAGGATAGTGTAGTTTGGCAAGGAAGGCTGGTTGAGAACTTCTGGGTGCAGGACTATAACAGGTTGCTGAAATATTATTGACATTTCGAGAAGTCTACACTGCTAGCTGGAGTAGGTCAATTTGGATACAACATGGTTGATGGTGACTTTTCTGCGATCTTGTCACCCTTTATTTTCCTTGCTGGTTCTTTTGTGGCTTGTATGACAGACTAAACTTTGGGGTAAAACATGCTTGTACTAAAGGGAATTGCACTTCTAAAGAGGCAGAAGTCTAAGTAAGAAGGAAGTGTCTTAGGTAGAATTATCTCCCCTTTGATTGAATCAACCTTGATAGCTTTTCTATCTTCAGTTAAACGCTTTACTTCTCTTGCATTTCTTTACCACTCTGGCTGCAGCGAGATGAAATAGGGATAAATGGTGCTTATGTTGGAGCAAATAGAACCAATTGAAGTACAGGAGTTGAAATTAGAAGGAAGGTTTTCTAAGTTTTAATTAATAGCTCATATTGGGTCCTTTTTCTTTTCCAGTATGCTTCCTCTTTGAATTCATAAGTTCTTTTAGGTCTAAAATTTACATTGCGGTATTAGCCCATAATGTGTTCTTCCTTGAATAATTAGATGGTGCCAAATGATTGAGGGCAGTGGAAGGATGGTAGAAATTGAAGATTTCTTGTGCTCACAATGACTGGTACGTTATTAATGGTTGATAAAATTTTGAAAATCAATTAATTTGAATTTTTAATTGTCTACCTTTTGATAAGTTTGTAGCTGATGGGTTGATTTGGAGTTTAGGAGATTGGTTTTAAGTGCACAACGTCTAGGCTCAATGTGCATGGTGGTCTTTAATATCTTCCGATTTTTGACGGTCCATGTTAATCATCTCTCTTTCTCACTTTGAGAAAATGTTCTGTAACTATTCTTAATAAAATCTCTGTCTTAAATTTTTTTAAAATGTTGATTATATTTTATGTAGGTGAGGTTTAAGGTATATTGATTGGCATGTCTTATGCCATTGGTGCTCTTCGCTTCATGTGTTTGCTTGAGGGTATCTGATTAGACGTGGGAAAGATAAAGATAAAGTACAAGTAAAGTGCGTTATGACACGGCAAAATTTGGATTCTTGCAGGCCTAGGAATGAATGATTGTTCATTTTTTGCATGATGAGAAATTTATCTGTCTTCCTGAATTTGCTCATTCCTTTCTTTTGCCTTTGAATGGACTTTGGTCGTTGTCATAGCATCATTTGATGGTTGTTCGTTTTGCATTTTGTTTGTGATTCTTGCTGCAGCTAGATTATGAGGGTAGAATAATAAGATGCTTATATTGCTGCAAACTAAGCTTCTCATTGAATTGCTGAAGTTCAAATAAGACTTGCAAAATTTTACTCTCGTGTCTGGAGCTTTTTGTAATTCATAAATTTATTGAATTTTCATGGATATACAGGAATCGAAATTAAAAGGATTTTTAAACTCTGTCTCTCCCTCATTGGATTAGTAACTTACACAACTTCTGGATTTGATCATTTTGGATCTGATGTGCATTCTGTATGCTTGGTTTGACTCTGGTTGTTCTCCTATCATCTTATCACCCATTACTTTTGTCCGATTTGTTTGTGACTCATGTTTTATAGTACAGATAGGTCGTGGTTGAATGAAAGGATGCTTGGTTTGACTCTGGTAGTTCTATCATCTTATCACACATTACTTTTTTCCGATTTGTTTGTAACTTGTGCTTTGTAGTACAGATAGGTCATGGTTGAATGAAAGGATGCTTACTGCATTGGAACAAACTAAACATTTCAATCAGATACCATAGTTGACATAAGTAGGGAGTTCTTAAATTACAATCAATCTCGTATTGGGAGTTAGTTTTCCTTTCCGATTCATCTTTCCACTCTTTACTCATCCAAATTCGTAATTCTTCCAAAAATTATTTACATTTTATCAAATGGTTGCAGTGGGGGAGGGTTGATGGATGCAAAAGATTCCTATGCACGTGGCTTGTGTGCTGTTAGTAAGTATATCGAAACATTGATAGGATGATAAAAACTATTTGATTGCATCGTCAGTCTCTTGTTGTTGCTTGCTGTTGCCCATTTCATAATAATTGTAGTTGGCATGCAGATGTCAAATTCAGAGGTTGGTTTCAACTGTATGGTGCATTGGCTTTATGTGGAAGATGGTCTCATGTAGTTTTCTCTCTGTTGATCTCTCTCTCTCTACATATATATATACCTGTATATTTATCATTTTGAATAATGGTTCCTCGTAAATCCTTTATTATTATTCTGTGATTTTTTGGTGTATAAAGGTTATTTTTTATAGTTACCGCCATTCATAAACTGGATGTTTAGGGCACATCTTAGCTGGTGGTTCTTCTCTTTGCTCTTGATTTTGTTAGAAGAATCAAACTAAGACCACTGGGAAAGAAAACTTTTGAAAGGTTCATTGAACTTTGTATGTCTGGTTTCTTTGAATCATAAGCAGTTAAAATTTGGTTTAAGATAACACGTGAATGATGCGGTACTGTTAAGGGTTTAGAGTTGTTAAAGATCGTGTAGTTTGGTATGGCAGGTTAGTTGAGAACTTCAGGTGCAGGACTATAATATGTTGCTGAAATATTGTTGACATTACAAGAAGTTTGCACTACTAGCTGGAGTAGATTGATCTGGATAAGAACATGCCTTCCCTTCGGTTGAGCTGACTTCGGTGATTTTTCTGTGATCTTGTCATCCTTTATTTTCCTTGCAACTTTTTTTGTGACTCGTGCTGCAGCATAAGCTTTGGCAGAAAAGATGTTTATATTGGAGCGAATCTAGAGAGGTATAAGTCAAGATAAGAAGGAAACTCTTAGGTTGGATTATCTCCCCTTGCTTGAATCGACCTTGCTTGTTTTTCTATTATCAGTTAACATGATATTTCTCTTGCAATTTTCCTGCCATTCTGCTGCAGTGAATTCAAATAGGTATAAATGGTGCTAATATTGGAGCGAGTGGAACCTATTGAAAAAAGGAGTTGAAATTATAAGGAAGACATTCCAAGTTTTAGTGAATAGCTCATATTGGGTCCTTTTTTCCCTCTTATATGTTTCCTTTTTGAATTTTTCATTTCTTTTAGGTCTAAAATTTACATTGTTGGTATGCTATTAACTCGAAAGATGTATTCTTTCGTGAATAATTAGATAGTGCTAAATAATTGAGGGCGGTGGAAGGTTGATAGAAATTAAAGATTCTCTGTGCACGCCTTGACTGGTATGCTATTAATGGTTGATTAAATTATGAAAATCAATTAATTTCAACTTTTAATTGTCTACCTCCTGATAAGTTGGTGGCTGGTGAGTGGATTTTGGAGTTACAGGAGATTGATTTCAAGCGTATAGTGTCTATACTTAGCAGGGATGGCGGTCTCTAATATCGTTTCATTTTTTATGTCAATGTTAATCAATTCTCTCTCTCTCGCACACAGTCTTTTAGAAATTGTTCCATTGGTATCCTTAATCAGATCTTATTGTTGTTGTTTTTTTTCAAAAAAACATTAATTTTATTCCATTTAGGTGAAGTTTAAGGCATATTCATTGGCAAGTTCTATGCCATTGGTGGTCTTCCTTCATGTGTCTGCTTGAGAAATGTGCATTATGACACTGCTAACCCGTTTGATACTTGCAGGCCCATGAATGAATGATTGGTCATTTTCGCATGACGGAAAATTTACTCGTCTTCCTGGATTTGCTTAGCCATTTCTCTGCTTGAACGGATTCTGGTAATTCTCATATTATTTGATCTTTGTTCCCTTTGCATTTTGTTTATGATTTGTGGTGTAGCCAGATCATGGGGGAAGAATAATAAGATACTTACATTGCTGCAAACTGAACTTTTCATTGTATCGCTGGAGTTCAAATAAGAAAGACTTTCAAAATTGAACTCAAATCGGTTGTGTTGGGAGTTCTCTTCTAGGTCACAAATTTATTGAATTTTTCATGGATATATAGGTGGTGTAATTAGAAGGCTTTCTAAACTCTCTCATTTGATCATAAACTTATGCAGCTTCTGGTTTTGATAATTTTGAATCTGATGTGCGGCCCATATGCTTGGTTTGACATTGGTGGTTCTCCTATAATCTTACCTTACCCATTACTTTCCATTTGATTTGTTTGGGAATCATGCTTCATAGAACAGATATATCATTGATTAAGGGGATGCTTATTGCATTGGGCAAACTAAACTTTTCACTCATATACTATACTATATATAAGTAGGGAGTTTGAGTTACTGTCAATGTCTCATATTGGGGGTTAATTTTTCTTTCCTATTCATTCAATCTGATACTCTTTATATGTTTTGCATTTACTCATCCATAATGATAATTCTTCCGCTAATTATTACTTTCAATCAGAGGCTGGTTTCAACTGAGTGGTATATCGGCTTTTTGTTTCTCAACTTTTCCTTTCTCTTTTTATATACCTGTAGATTTATCATTTTTTCTAATAATTTTTCGAAAATCCTTAAATAATTTTGTTCTGTCATTTTTTTTTTCCATTTTATATAGGTTATTGTTTACATACCTTTCTTGTAAAATGATTCCTTGGAAATTCTTAAATAATTTTGTTTTGTAAATTTTTTTTAATTGTATATAGGTTATTGTTTACGCACCACCATGCATAAATTGGAGGTTTAAGACACATCTTACTTGGTGGTTCTGCTTTTTGGTCTTCTTGATTTTGTTGGACATGTTCAAATGTCTAATTCGGGAAGGAAAAGGGAGGGAACTTTGGAAGGTTCACTGGACTTGTATGTCAGGTTGTTCTTAATCATATACGGTTAACAATTTATTTTAAGATAACACGTGAATGATGCAATATTATTAAAGCTCTAGAGATCGTTCAAGATAGCCTAGTTTGGTATGGGAGGCAAGTTGAGAACTTCTGGGCGCATGGCTATAATAGGTTGCTGAAATATTCTTGATATCTCGAGAAGTTTACACTGCTAGCTGATGTTGATCAATATGGATACAACATGTCTTTCCCTTGGTTGACCTGATTTGGATGATTTTTCTGTGATCTTGTGACCCTTTGTTTTCCTTGCAAGTTCTTTTGTGACTCATATTGCAGCCATAAGCTTTGTGGAAAAAAGATGCTTATATTGGAGCAAATTTAACTCCTAGAGAGGCAGAAATCGAAGTAAGAAGGAAGCCTTTTTTGGTAGATTTATCTTCCCTTGATTGCATCAACCTTGGTAGTTTTCCTATCTTCAGTTAGAATTCTTCATTTTTCTTGCAATATTTCTGCCACTCCTGCTGCAGCGAGATAAAATGGGATAAACAGTGCTTATGTTTGAGTAAACAGAACCTGTTGAAGTACAAGAGTTGAAATTAGAAGGAAGGCATTCTAAGTTTTAAGTGAATAAGTCATATTGGGTCCTTTTCCTTTTCCTGTATGCTTCTATTTTGAATTCATGAATTCTTTAGGTCTAAAATTTACATGGTGGGTTTAGCCCAAATGATGTGTTTTGTTCTTGAATAGTTAGATGGCGACAAGTGATTGAGCGCGGTGGAAAGATGATAGAAATTAAGGATTCCCTGTACACTCGGTGACTGGTATGTTACTAATGGTTGATAAAATTATGAAAATCAATTAATTTAAAATTTTAATTGTCTGCCTCTGGATAATTTTGTAGCTAGTGGGTGGATTTGGAGTTCAGGAGACTGGTTTCAGGTGTAGTGTCGAGGCTCAATGTGGATGGTGGTCTCTATAATCTTTCGATTTTTGATGGTCCATGTTAATCAGCTCTTGCACTCTCGTACTTTGAGAAATTGTTCTGTACATATCCTTGATTAGATCTCTTTGCCTTAACTTTTTTAGGACGTTGATTATATTATATGTAGGCAAAATTTTTGGCATATTCATTGCCATATCGTATGCCATGGTGCTGTTAACTTGTGTTTGTGTGAGGATGTCTAATTAGATGCTGGAAAGAAAAAGAAAAAGTATGAGAAATGTGCACTGTGACACAACAAATTTGTTGGATGCTTGCACGCTCGGTAACCAATGATTGATTACTTTTTGCATAATGGGAAATTTACTCTTCTTCCCAGATTTGCTCAGCTCTTTTCAGCGCTTGAATGGACTTTGGTAGTTGTCATATTATCATTTCCTCTTTATTCCCGTCGCATTTCGTTTGTGTTTTGTGCTGCAGCGAGATCGTTGGGAAGAATAATAAGATGCTTATATTGCTGCAGATTCAACTTTTCACTAAATTGCTAGAGTTCAAATGAGGAAGGCTTTCAATGTTTCATTCAAATCTCTTGTGTCTGGGGCTTTTTTGTAGGTCACAAATTTATTGAATTTTTCATGGATCTACGTGGGACAGAATCAGAAGGCTTTCTAAACTCTCTCTTTCTCATCTGATCAGAAACTTCCGGGTTTGATCATTTTGGATCCGACATGTGGTCTGTTTGCTTGGTTTGACTCTAGTGGTTCTCCTTCAATCTTATTCCCCATTTTTTTACGTTCGGTTTGTTTGGGAATTCGTCTTCATTGAACAGACATATCATAAAGGAAGAAGGGGATACTTACTTCACGAGGACAAACCAATTTTTCAACCGGATACTGTAGTTGATATAAGCACAGAGTTTCTAAATTACAGTCACTGTACTGTCTCATATTGGGAGTTAGTTTTCATATCCAGTCATTTTTCCACTCTTTATATGTTTATATTATGAGAAATTTACACTGCTAGCTGGAGTTGATTGATCTGGGTACAACATGCCTTTCCTTCAACCAAGCTGACTCGGGTGATTTTGCTCTGATCTTATCAACCTTTATTTTAATTGCAGCATCTTTTATGACACGGAGAGGCACAAGCGGAAATAAGATGCACGCTTCTTAAATTTTACTAAATATCTCCCCTTGAATTAGCCTGGTAGTTTTTCTATCACCCTTTATTTTTGTTGCAATTTGTCTGGAATCAGATAGAGGATAGCTGGTGCTTATATTGGAGAGGACAGATCCTACCGAGGTGTAGGAGTTCAAATTACAAAGAAGGCTTTCTAAGTTTTACTAAATATAACATAATTGGAACTTTTGCCTTATGATTCATTTTCAAATTCTTCATTTCGTTTAGGTCCAAATTTATTCTTTTATTCAAACCAACGAAATATTCCTCGTTCCATAATTATATTGTGCCAAATGATCGAGGGTGGTGGATGGATGATTGAAATAAAAGATTTCTGCGCATGTGGTGACTGATATATTGCTAATAGTTGATATTATAATTGTCTATCTCTTGATAAGTTAGTAGCTAGTTGGTGGATTTGGCGATCAGCAGATTAGTTTCGAGTGTATTATGTTTGGGTTCAATGTGGATGGTGGTCTCTAGTGTCTTCCTATCTTTTGTGGTTCACGGTAATTATCTTTCTCTCTTACTTTGAGAACTTTTTCATTGATATTCTTAATGATCTCATTGCTTCGATTTTCTTTTATGCATTGGTTAGGTAAGAGGTTGAGGTTTAAGTGATTATCATTGGCGCGTCTCTTATGTCAGTGGTGCTCTTTGCTTCATTTGTTTGCTGGGGAATCTAATTAGACGCTGAAAAGTAAAAGATAAAGCCTAAGAAGTGAGCTTTTAACTGGATATATGTTTTAGTTACTTGGTCTCCAGATGACAGTGCTCAAAATTGGTTCCACCTATAACGCACTAATGTTGTACTGTAAAAGTACCTCGTGGTTTAAGATGCATAACACGGGAAACTAGTTGGATACCTCTAGGTGCGGGAATTTTTATGATTGAAGTTTATTTTTCTTCCAGAATTTGCTCAGGCCATCCGTCTGCTTGAATCGATTCTAGTAATTTTTCAATGATCATTTAACCCTTGTTCTCTCTGCATTTTGTTTTAATTCATGGTGCTGCCAGACCATCGGGGAAGAATAAGATGCTTGTATTGCAGCTAATTGAACTTTTCATTGACATGCTGGAGTTCAAATAGAGAAGGCACACATGTTGGGAGCTTGTTTCCTTTATGATTCGAGTTAGACTCCTGGTTTCTTTTAGGTTTGAGTTTTCCACGGATGCTTACAAGTTATTGAAACACATTCTGAACTCTCTCTCTCTCAATTGGATTGGAAATTTAAGCAGCATGTGGATTTGATCATTTCGGGTTTGACGTGCATTCAATTGTCTTGGTTTGACTCTGGTAGTTCTCTTATAATCTTATCACCCATTATCTTCCATGCAATTTATTTGTTGCTCGTGCTGCAGAGAGCAGATGGATAATTGAGGGAGAAAAAGATGCTTATGCTGGGACACACTGAACTTCTCAATCAGATACGGAACTTGATAGAAGCAGGGAGTCAATAGAAGCGGAGAGTTTCTAGATTATAGTCAATTTCTTATGCTGGAAATGAGAAGAATGCTTCTTAAATTATATCAGTATCTCCCCTTGCTTGAATTGACTTTGGTAGTTTTTCTATCATCTACTAGTCCCCTTAATTTTTTTTGTAATTTGTTGCTCTCACCTAGTGGAGCCAAATCAAGTGGGATAATGAAGCGAACAGAACTTGAGCTTATTGAACTTAACTAGCTTTAGTGGATATATCATGTTGTATTTTTTTTTTTTAGTTCTTTACAATTCAGTTTCAAATTCTTCGTTTGTTTTAATTCTAAAATCTACTTTGTCGTGTTCAACCCAAATGAAATGTTCTTTACCAAATGATTAGATGATACCAACTGATCAAGGGCGGTGGAGGGATGGCAGAGATAAGAAATTCCTCTTCACTTGGTTGATTGGTATGTTTTTAATTTTTGATGAGATTGGGAAAACTACGTTTATAAATCTATTGATAAGTTAGTAGCTGGTGGTATTTGGAGTACGTTAGATTGGTTTTAAATGTATAGTGAGCAGCTGGGCTCAATGTGGACAGTTGTCTCTAATATCTTTTGGTTTCCTGAATTGTCACTTTAATCATCTCTCCCTCTTTTTTATTTGAAGACTTGTTCTATGGATACCCTTAATTTGATTTAGTTGCTTCAAATTTTTTTCGAAAACATTGATTATATTTAAATACTATTGCATATATTTAAAGTTTAAGCTATTTTGATTGGCATGTCTATTATGCTGTTGGTGCCCTTTGCTTTGTGCAATTGCTTGACGAATCTAATTAGAAGTTGGATAGAAAAGATAAAGCTTGAGAAATTTTCGGTGTATGTTTCAATTAATCGTATCCAGATGACAGTGTAGTTGAAAATTGGTTCCAGCTAACACGGCAAACTGTGTGGACAGGAACAAAATACTCAGCTGCATCACTTTTAGCATGATGAGAAATTAATTGGTTTCCTGGATTTGCTCATGCGTTTCCTCTGGCTGAATGGATTCTGCTACTTGTTTTATGATCATTTAACCCTTCTTCTCTTTGCATGTTGTTTGTGATTCAGATTTTGTTTATGATTTGTGCTGCAGTCAGATCATTGCGGAAGAATAAGATGCTTACATATATTGTTGCAAACTGAACCGTTTATTGAAACGCTAGACCTCTAAGTAAGGAAGATGTTCTAAATTATACTCGAATATCTCATGTTAGGAGTTTGTTTTCCTTTATGATTTAAGTTAAAACTTATGATTTCATCTAGATCAACAATTTAATGAGTTTTTCATAGGTATACATGAGTTTCTCATCAATGCCTTCCCCTTCGGTTGAGCTAACTCAGGCGTTTTTTCTGTGATCTTATCACCCTTAATTCTGCTCGCAATTTCTTTGTGACGCTTGCTGCAGCGAAATCTTTAGGAAAAATATGCTTATGGTGGAGAAAACTGAACCTCTTATAGAGGCATGAATTCAATGCTTAAATTGTAATCAATTTCTTCCCTTGCTTAAAATATTGTGCTAGTTATTTTATCATCGACTAAACCCTTTATTTTTCTTTCATTTTGTTTGTTGCTCTAGTACAGTGAACCAAACTTATTGAAGAGCAGAGGTTGAAATTAGAAGGAAGTCTTTCTAAGTTTTATTGAATATCTCATATCTGAATTTTTTCCACTTTACAATTCATTTTCAAATTCTTCGTTTATTTCAGTTCTAAAATCTACTTTGTCCAACTTTTACACTTTTTATTTTCGCAAATAAAAAAAAATAAAAAATCGGTTTTGTCCAATTCGACCCAAATGATATTTTCTTTGGCGAATGATTTGATGGTGCCCAAATGATTTGAGTGCGATGGAGAGGGGGTGATACAAATAAAAGATTCCTGTACTGGTGGTGACTGGTTATGTTGTTACTGTTGGTATGATTATAACAACCAATTACTGTCAATTTTATAATTGTCTCTCGTGATAAGTTAATAGCTGGTAGGTGGATTTGGAATTCAGAGGACTGGTTTTAAGTATATTGTATTTTGGCTCAATCCGGACAGTTGTCTCTTTTGATTTCCTGAAGGTTCACTTTTATAATATCTCTCTCTTTCGCACTTTTGAAGGGTGTTCCACTGATATCTTTAGTTTGATCTTGTTTGCCTTGATTTTTTTTTTTTTTTTTTTTAATATTGGTTAGGTTTAGATATTATTACATACATTCGAGGATGAAGCCATTTTGATTGGCATGCCTATTATGCCATTGGTGCTCTTTACTTCATGTGTTTGCTCGAGGAGATCTAGTTAAATGGTGGATTAGAAAAGATGAAATTCCTTTAGTCCAAAATTGGTTCCAGCTAAGACATGAATGATGTAGTGTAGAATTACCTTGCCGTTGAAGATGCTTTATGAGATAGCAAACGAGTTAGATACTTGAAGGTGGTGGAATCACTTCATGACGAGAAGTTTTTCTGTTACCAATTAAACGCTGATTCCCTTTCATTTTGCTTGTGATTCATGTGGCAGCCGGATCAACTGGGGAAGAATTAGATGCTTAGAATGCAGCGAAAAGTTCCGTTTGCTCCAAGGAATATGTTCTTCTCCCTATAGTAGGTGTTGATGGAGCCCGATAAAAGTAAAAGATCCTTTTATTCTTTGCTGGTGTGCTGTTGATATATTAAGATGTGGGTGAGATTATATAACATGTTTAGTCAGCTTTTCATATTGCCTTTCTCTTGATAAGTTTTCTGCTGGCGGTTCCCTCGATAACATCCTTTCTTTGATCTTATTGTGTTAGTTTTTTTTTTTTATACATAGGATATGGTTCAAGCCGCAATGCATATATTGGATGTTTAAGCCATTTGACCGGCATTCTCTTATGCCCCTTTGTTCGAACCTGGTCAGTAAATAAAAGAGCCTGCAAAAGGTTCGTCTAACTAAGCTATAGATGGTTTGCTTCTATATCTTTTGTAATAGTTCAGTGTAGTGCATTACCCTGGTATACGATGACTTGCTAAGCTGTTTAACTAATTCTATTTGCAGGAACAAATGGTTAGCTAATTACTGTTCACGTTACGAGAAATTTTATACAGCTCTGTATGTGCACAATTTTTCTTTCCTTGAATTACTTGGGTTGTTATTTTTATCTTTTTGCTCGTCAGTAAAATTTTATGTGGGTTAGATGCGGCTATGGAAATCCGTTAATCTTTTGCTTGGACTTGCAGGAAAGGAATCATGTAAGACCAGCCAGAAGGAAAAAGAAAGGGCAGACGGAAGTCTCGATTAAGTGGGAATTTTTTTTTTTTTTTTTATTAATCACGTACAAGTTACAAACTGGTTGAGAATTGATTGAAGTTTAGCAGTTGAATATTTTGTTGTAAACGATGTGAAAATAATTTAATATAGTGTTGGATTGCACTGTTTATGTAAAAATACTAAACAGTGTAGAACATCTGATAAATATATAAAATGATAGATAGATTTTATATTATTTTTTTATAATATGTATATATAATTACAGTATAATTATTGTATTTTGTCTCATAATTTTTTTATTAAAACTGAAAAATTACCAAGAGAAGTCTTGTTTTACACTATTTCCTCTTAACTGCATGTTTTCCACAACTTTTTTAGTCTCCTGTTTTTCATTTTTCTTATGTTTCTTTTTTTTTTTTTATAATTTTATTTTGCTTTTTTATTGCTTAATGTATACTCTTTGTATGAAATAATCTGTGTTGAGATTTTAATATATAGAACAATCATAATATTTTTGTTGCATTTGTATTCAACAATTTAAGTTTTTTCTTTAATTTAATAAAATAAAACCAAAACTTACACAGAAGACAGAAGATGAAGATGCAAGAAATAGAAATTCTATGAGAGTTTAGAAATTCTACATTTTGAGACTGTATTTATTTAATTTTTATTTTAGTTTTTAATATTTAACCTTTATAATAATCATTTTATATTATTGTTAAAATTAATTTAAAGTTGCTAAGTTTATGCTAAATTATTAAAAATTAGTTAAATTACTATTCTAGCAAATTGAGTTTCAAAAGTCTTCTTTACTACTATTTTATATTTACAATGTTATTCCAATCAATTATTTAAAAAATAGAAGAAAAAGATTTTAATAGAGAATTAAAAAGATTTTTTATCTGTAAAGTTTTTAAAATATAATGATTAAAATTAAGTTAAATACATTTAAGAATAATTGTTTCATTTAAGAAATGCTTGTGATAATAATAAACATATTTTATTAAAAAAAAAACCTTATTTAATGTTAGATTTAAATAGAAGAAATAATTTAACTATTTTTTTTTATATCATTCACCCAAAATAAGTTGGAAAGAATTTATTATTTTTATGAGAAATTAAAAAAAAATATTCAAAATAATTTTATAAGTTTAACTAATCAAATTAAGAACTTTAACATATTATTATTTAGAGACTAAATAATATGCTCTTAAAAATTTAATATTACGAGATAATAAAGAAAAATATTTTGTGCAATAAGTATTTAGTAATTCGGTAATAAGTTTATAACGCAAGATTTTGATTAAATCATTGATTATTGATGTTTATTAAGTAAAATATAATTTTTATTAACTAAAATGCAAAATTCTTAAATTTCTATAATGTAATATATATCAGATATAAAATTTATTAGATTATTTTCCATGCATTATTTTTAAAATTTTATTGATATTTTAACTTGTAAATAATTTGTTATACAGCATTCATTATTTATAAAGAATTTATAAATTAAAAATACATTGATCAAATATGTTTTTATTTATTTTTATAAAATTTAATATTTTTTTCAATTTATAATTTTTTTGGGGTAAAATATTAATTATCTACAGAAAATCTATAAATAAAACAAAAATACGTTAACTAAATATATAATTCATTTCTAAAAATTTGTAAAATGTTATAGGCTTATAGCACCTTATTAGGGGAAAAGAAAAGGAAAAAAAAAAAAAAAAAAACCTAAACCAAATCATAGTCAGATTAAATGAATTTACAGTTTACCGTGTATGTATATATACTCGCCAGATTTAGGGTTCGTCAATCTTCTCGTCTGCAATTAATCTTCCCACTACTTTTCTTTCCTGTGATAACACGAGTTAAGCCAAGTCATTGACTAAGCAGCAGCGGCGACTTGGGCAGGTACAGGTCTGACCCACCTTGGCATTTCTGCTACCTCTCTGAGAATTTGATCTGCTGAGAACAGAGATTTAAGTCTTGATTTAGGTAATTTTAGTTACCTATTAAACTGGAACACGTTTGATGAGGGTGGAAACCCAACTGAGATAGTATTTGCATAATGCATTTATACCTCCTTGCTAAATGGGAAAGATGAGAACAGGTGCGATGGACAGAGCATCACACAATGTACTCTGTTGTAATTTCCTGTCAACTGATAGTCTTGCTAATAATTGGTTTTTGGTAGTTGGTCGGTGCTGTCTCCTATGTATATTATGGTCTCATTTGCATACTGGATCAATCTTGTTAGCTACTGCTAAATTTTTGCTTCGACCCTAGTGTTTAGGTTGGCTATTAAATTTTGTTTTCCCCAAAAAAATTCTTATTTGATCTTTAAATATATACTCTGCAATTTTGCATTTGTATTGACCTATTTGAATGTCTTTTTTTTTTTAGTCTGTATGAAACAATCTAAATATTTAATTTTTAAGCATTTCCAGATGTTTAGTTTTCTTTCAAAGATGAAAATAGTGACAGCAAAAAATGAAAGGCAAAGTGGGTAATAATTCGAACAGGCAATGGTAAAAAATGGTTGTGAGGGAGTTTTATTGTTGATCCCTATCCTGAACTTTTCCCCTGGTATTCCTATTGCATCTGGCTCTCCTTTCGTATTCTTCAGTATTCGCCTTTATCACCTTCACTTCTCCTTCGAGGTACTGGGATATGTGTCTTATTATTTACATTATGCTGCCACTAGTCATTTACTTTTTCCTAGAACTCTATGTTAATTTTCCCTATATGTATAACATCCTTCACACATGAATAGATAATAGTATATTTTTCATACTTCATTCCTCTATTCAAAGTTTGAGTCTCCACCTCTCCACAAAGTTCCAACCTTTTTCATTGGTCCGTCCTCTCTTTTTGCAAGCTCATCTCCTTTCCCAGCTCATAAGCCACTGTGCTTACAAGCTTGTTGGACAACTTTATTCTTAGACCATATCACCTTCTACATTTTAATGTTGTTGGTGGCCTCAAACAGGTTTGTTTTGTTATTAAAAAATTGAGATGAGAGATTTCTAATTTTTGTTGCTGGCCTCAGTGATGGTACTGGACCATCAAAAAGAATCAGGGGCTCGATGCCCAAATGACAAGATAATCTTAGGAGCCAATGGCATGTATATGTCTTTTAATTGTTTCTTCTATTATGCATCATCAAAAAGAAATTCTACATGTTAAATATCTAGATTTAATGGCATAATAACAGATTCTTCTAATGTTTATATTTGACCTTGTTCAGGTTCTTCTTTAATTACATAGCAGTGTCCCACTTTAAAATCTTAGCCTATTCTTTTGAGTGGATGACCATATTGTTCTTTAACAATTTGAGATTTCTGTAATCTTTGAATTTTTATGGCTTTAAAAGGATTGAGAAAATGAGAAATACTGTTTTTCCTGTTGTAATCTGTATTACGTTCAAGGACTAATTATAATATTTGGTAATTTAGAGAACTGAACTGTGAATAGTTAGAACTAAGGACTTTGTCATAATATAGGATATTTAAGGACAGAACTGGAAATTACCCATGTACTATAGAAATCATTGATAGTGGGGTAAACTAGCTTACATTTTTGTAAACTCTGTCAGTGCACCTCCAGAGAGACCAAAATGGATAAGCAGCCTGCAGATCAGAGCCCACCTGTCAAAGAAATGCAGTCTCTCTCTGTTGAGTCTCAGGTCCAACCATCGTCTTCATCTGCCAGCAATCAGTTAAGTGTCACCTGAATTTCATTTAGTTCTCTCTCTGAAAATAATTTATGTTCTGTTTGGTTGCCAAAAATTACGAACATTGAAGAAAAAGAAAGGACTAAATTTAAGCTCCAATATATTCTTTTTCTGTTTGTTTTCAATGTAATAGCAACCAGCGAAAGAAGAAGATGTCTGTGATGTTGCTTCTTGATATATTTTGTTTATCTCTGTAATTGGATTATTGATTTGGTTGCTTGGCAAATGAAATCAAAGAATTTTCTGATACAGATGAATTCTTGTATCTAATTCTGATAATTAAGAAAGTGATTAGGTGAAGGTAAGGAGGAAGAAACCAGAGAAGGATAGACAGAGGATAGCAGAGAAGAGAAGAAGCTGAGAGAATGAGAGACGAAGAGAATGAAATATTCTAATTATACATTTCTTCTCTATAGTGTTGTATGAGTGTTCATACTATAAGCTTGACAAGATAACTATCTAAACCCTAACATGTAAAAATACAAGTTTACCCATTCTGTTAATATTATAATTTTAAGCTGTGTTAATAGTATAATTTTAATGTACCTTCCTTTCTAAATGATCAAATTCAGTTTTAATTTTTAATGCTGGGACTCAAATTAAATTTAAGAGAGTGGCGGGAAAGAAAGCACTGCCCTTAATTAAACATGCATATTAACTGCAGAAACTCTCTTACTTTTATTGTACCAGAATGCTCTTCAATTGAATTGAAGAGAGTGGCAGGAAACAAAAACACTGCCCTCAATTACAGATACATATCAACTGCACCAACTTTTCTTCACTTTTGTTTCAGAATGCTCTATTATTTTCTGATTTGGAGAAATACCTAGAATATTCAATATTAGCAACAAAAGAAACAGTTTGATTTGGTAAACTTTCTGGCTAGATTATAGATTCTGCTAGCATTTGCTTTTGATTGATGATCAGTGAGCAATTGGGTCTTGATTCAGGACAAGTGAAGAGGAGAGGAGGTTTCAGATTGTGAGGAGCATTGGAGAGGAGTGTATCCAGGAGGATGAGTTAAGGAATCTTCTTGCGAAGAAGCCTGAACCCATTTGTTATGATGGGTTTGAACCATCAGGGAGGATGCATATTGCTCAGGTTTGTTCTCTATCGATATTGGTATCCTGTTCCTTAGATTTGCTTGCATGGTTTAGAAACCCTCTATCTCTACTCACTCATGCACTTTTGCCTATTTTCTCTTATTATAGTACAGAATATGATGCTAAATAAGGTTGGGGAATAATTAGCTACAGGCAAAAACACAAAATTTGGCTCATAATTGCTATTATTTCTTGCAGACATAGATCTAAGTATTAGCACATGTGAATAACAATAAGTTCTAACAATTAATATACAGCATTGCTTATGCTAAAAAAAATTAATATACAGCATTGCTATTGAAAAATGACGTTGAGTTTATTGAGCAGTTATTTTACTTCTCATCTTTTTGTAGGAATGTAGAATGTCTGTTTCTTTGGCAGTAATTATTTCCTGATAAGTATCCAAGGGGATTTGTTACTTTATTCACAAAATGGAGGAAAGAAAGCACCATGTTTAAATTTGCTTTTTTGGCAACAAAATAAGCAGAGTAATTGTTATGTGTGAATAAGAAGTGTCAAGCAGGAGGGAATAAACATCTGTCTCCTAATTTTTTCTTTATTGACTTACAATGCTATTCTCAACATTTTCAGTCACTTATTTACCCAATATTATTCTTTACAAAAAGTGTATTACGTTTTCTTTATGATACACATTTTTATACAAATATCTAATTGCTTATTTCTGTAAATTAGCACCTAGGTGCTTTGACTCACCTAAAAAGGTGCATAGACATTTCATCAATTCCAAATAATCTCAGAATGTTCTTTGTTATCAAATAACTTATGCATGCAACTTATATATCCTCTTTGTCTCGCTATTACCCAATTGTAATTTAAGAACTTACTGCCAATATCTTGTGCAAATAGAAAAGGCTTGGACATATGACTTCCCTTCTCTTCATTACGGCTTTTTGTCAAAATTGCTCAATGGGCTTGATGTGTTCTTATTGGTGAACAGGGAGTGGTGAAGGCTATAAATGTCAACAAATTGACCTCTTGTGGTTGTAGAGTGAAAATCTGGATTGCAGATTGGTTTGCACAGTTAAATAACAAAATGGGAGGTGATTTGAAGAAAATACAAACAGTTGGGCATTATTTGATTGAGATATGGAAAGCTGTTGGAATGAATAGCATAGGAGATAAAGTAGAATTTTTGTGGTCCTCAGAAGAAATTAATTCAAGGGCACATGAATACTGGCCTCTTGTAATGGATATAGCTCGCAGGAACAAGCTTCCTCGAGTAATGAGGTATCTGAGTAATCCTTTGAAGAATGCCATATACTTAAATTTGACAACTGACATGAAAATTTTTCCTCTTTTAGATGTGTGCAGATTATGGGTCGTAGTGAAACTGATGAGTTGACAGCTGCCCAGATTCTCTATCCCTGCATGCAATGTGCGGATATATTTTTCTTGAAGGTGCTTTTATGATCTCTCTAAAATTTCTTGAAATATTTGATATCATCATTCTATCTAGTGAGAGAACCCCTTCTAAACTATGTGTAACCAGGCTGTTAATAGACAGGACACAGTAAGGGTTACCGTGGTAGGTGTTTGAGCTTTTTCTATTTAGTAGTCAGATCTGAATTGCATTTATGGTGCATTTTGTAACATGGAATACAGATGCAGTATTAAAATGGAAATTGGTAGCAACCCTATGGACTGGCTGTCCTGATCAATATGGATTTAGAATTAAAATCACGTGCCTCTTCTCCTTTAATCTCTTGATTAGGTATCACGTATCTTTTTTCTGGAGAATGATAAGAGCTCACCAAATTGGTTCTTTGGATAAAGTAAAATTCTGGATAATCCCGACTCAGTTATTATTTTGGCAGGCATATGACTATTCAGTAAAATTTGGGTGGGAGGAAAAGATAATAAAAATCAAAGTTTCTCAGCACATGTTTGTGCCCCCTAGCATGACTGAAATTAGTAAATTTTAATACTGCATCTGAATACATTTGCTAGCTCGAGGTTCTTCAATCTTCTCAAATTGTGTGGTTTCTTAGCTCCTGCAAGTAAATTATGTTTTGATGATTAATGAAGTATACTTTGAAATGTTTATCTTTGCAGGCTGACATTTGCCAGCTGGGCATGGACCAACGCAAGGTAAATGTTCTTGCAAGGGAATATTGTGATGATATCAAGAGGAAAAATAAGCCCATCATCCTGTCTCACCGTAAGCTTCGAACTGCAATTGTCTGTCGTATCTATGAGTTTCTTGCATTATGCATATTGATTTTATCTTGGTTATATTGTTATGCAGATATGCTTCCTGGTCTACAGCAAGGGCAAGAGAAGATGTCAAAAAGTGATCCTTCATCTTCAATATACATGGAGGATGAGGAGGTATTATTTGCAGACTGAACTTGAGATGTCCTTTCTGACTTTAATGCTTGGAAATAATATTTAAGTGAACCAGAACTTACAGAGAGCCTCTTTGGATTATTTTTTCTTATACTTTGTTGATTGTTGTGACAGGCAGAAGTAAATGTGAAGATCAAGAAGGCATTCTGCCCTCCACAAATTGTGGAAGGGAATCCATGCCTCGAGTACATCAAATATATTATTTTCCCATGGTTTAATGAGTTCAAGGTGGAACGTGCTGCAAGCAATGGTGGTGATAAGTGAGTGTGACCAACATTTTGTTTTCCTGTAAATCTTTTGATCTTTCCAGTTCTTTCTCCTTTTTAATGTCTTTGGATCTTCTTGATCTTTTATACCACCAGTATGCATCGTTGTTGGTGTGTGGACGCTGGAATATCCTTGAATCTTTTTAATCTTTTTTATGTACTGGTTCATGGTGGGTATTTGTTTGCATGGTACCCATTTCAGAACATACAACAGCTTTGAAGAACTGGTTTCTGACTACGAGGGTGGGGAGTTACATCCTGGTGACCTGAAACCATCTTTGGCAAAAGCATTAAATAAGATACTGCAAGTGAGTTATCTTTTCATGTTTCTTTTAATAGTCCCGGTTGATCACATGGTGAATCCCATCATTTCGTTCTATCATTAATTTACACGGGTAATGCATTACAAATTTGATATTTTTAAAGAAACCAAGTTGGGTAGGTGCCGTGTTTTGAAATGAGAAGGGATAAACATTGGAAAACCATCCTTTCTCTGAGTACGAACTACTTAGATTGCTTTCACTGTCTCTGATGCAGTGGTCTTTGGTATATATGTTTCTGTTGGAAATAAAGTATGAACTAATACCCATTAATGCAGCCTGTACGTGATCATTTCACCAATGACCCTACTGCTAAGGATCTGCTGAAACGGGTTAAGGTATTCCTTCCAATGTTCATCTGCTTCTCTTCACTTGAATGATTATGATAACTCGTATATGAATGTCTACGACAATCTGAAACTGTTTTCTTACCAGGCTGTATACCATTTTTTCTTCTACCCCTCCTGGATTTCATATTCTTCTCTGTTCATACGATCCAAACAAACTGACCTTATCTTTTTGGTAATGTAGAGTTACAGAGTCACCCGATGATGTGGAAGGCGATTTGTCCGTACTTGTTGGAAGCTGAGGATTATTGGAATTAAATTCTCAATTTAGTTACCACTCATATTTAACTGCGGCTTTTTTCTTACAGTGATACATTTATGTATACATCAATATCTAGAGGTGTACTTGTATGGATTTACAAGCCTTTTCTATGAATATTAAGTTGGGTAATCTTCGAATCGAAGAGAAACTGTGAAGAGATGTTCTATTTTCAGTCTCAAGTTGACTGATCAGATCACTCTCCTCTTTTATCAACTGGATAGATATTTGATAATTGTATAATAAAATCTTAGCTTATTATTATATTTAAACTTCAATTGTTAAGTACTCAGATGAATATTATTTAAATATAGATTAAAAATAAAATTAAAATATTATTTCACATGAAAACAATTCCCCTCCTAATTTTTATTGCGGTAAAATTTTATTTTTACATTTAGTTGATAATGTTTTTGAAAGTTTTTAGTTGTTTTCTCTTTACACACTCTTGACGTCCGCATGAATGTTGGATGGACCAATTATGCCTGTAATCTAAATAAATGTATACAAGTAATTAAACAATTTAGACTATATTATAAGTCATGGCATAGACTGTAAAATATTAATATATATTTTATTACTATAAAAATTATTTTTTAATTGATTATATTTATATCATAAATTTACAATAACGATTTATATTCAATTATTTTATTATTATATCATAAAATTTAGGGGAAAAAATAGACCGATTATATTTTAAATAATTCGTTTACATTAACTATTATATAAAGTATTGTTATATAATAAAAACTTTAAAATAAAAGAATAATGTAAAACTACGTGTGTGCTTATGGAGGCCCACTTCCTCCATTACTGGTTACTTGTAAACATATAGATATATATAGACAAATTAATTATAACATTAATGTCTAAAAAAATTTAATATTTTTAAGAAAATATATTATAATATATAATATTAAAATATTGTATATATATTTTGGATATATATGGTATATTAATTAACATAGGGTGAGAGAACTCGAGAGTCATGAACAATTATAATTGAATAATATAATTACATTTTTATTGTATAAAAAAAAAGAAAAAGAGAGAAATGGAGGAGGAGAGGTTTGATCTCGCGATCTGGAATAGGTGAAAGACAACCCTGACGCGTCCATTTTTCCCATTTCATCTGCATGAGGCGCCAAATATAAATAGATCCCTTGCTTTCAGTTCTCTATAGAACTGTTCAAACTTTTCAAAAATTTCCAAACCTAATCTCTCTGCGAAGGCTTGAATTAGCATCTAATTCCTCACCGGCTTTGTTGTAGTCCCGGTTGCTTGCTCATTTGCACGCTCAGTCAAGCGCTTTGTTTCAAACACAAATGTATGCACATATATATGTATTCATATTATATGTATGTGTATATATATATATATATTTATATGTATCCACCACCATTGCTTAAGAAATGAATGAATGCAAACATACAAGTCTATGTATGCATGCACGAACGACTGATGGCTTGAACTGCATCACGCATAGGTGAAACCAGGAGAAGCTGCGAGGCGGAGGCAACCACTGGACTTCAAGCCTACGAAAGTTGAAATGGTTAATCGCAAGCTGCCTCCTCGCTACAAGGAATTAAGCGAATTTCTCTTTCCTTCTTCTGCACAAGTATGTATATGTGTGTGCACTTATTTATATACGAATTCATTCTTCTACCGAGTGATCTTTTCATACTCTAATGTTTCCAAATCTTTAATAACCAAATATCTAACGGTATACGGATTAGGAATATACTGATCAGAACAATAAAGCAGAATTAGGAGAAGCCTACCCGATCATTTTTGTTATTATCATTATGAAACCCTAACCTTTGTCCATATTTAAATTTTGAGTTAATTTGAAATATACTAATGATAGGGAAAACGGTGATTAGGAAACACGCGGCTCAGTCACCAATGGCAAATGTATGTATATGTATTATCGATATATTCATCATCGATACTTTATCAATACATGTATCCATTTACATTGGCCAACCAGTGGACTTCGCGCCTATGGAAATTTTGAGAAGGCTGATTACAAGCCGCCTCCGCACAACAAGGAATTAAGTGTGCTTCTCGCTCCTTCTTCTTCCCTACAATATGCATATATGTATGCATATATATGTATATATGTATGTAAGAATGTGTTAAAACATTTTTCTGTTGTGATTTTTTGAGACTCTAATTAATGTTTCCGTATCGGCTTAGGAATATGCTAATTAGGAAAATAAAGCAGAATCAGGAGAAGCCTAACAGATTATTATTACTACTATTTATTCTGGAAAGCATAATTTTTTCCATATCTAAATTTTGAGCTAATTTGAAATATACTGATGATAAGGAAAACGACGATCAGAAAACACGTGTCATCCAAGCAGTCGCCGGAGAAAAATTAATTAGAGCCCAAGTAAAACATTCCTTTTTAGTCGCTAAGTATAGCTGTCTTTAATTACAAACGGTAACTGCAAGCCAAATCTCTTACAAGCACGTGCGTTTAGTCTTGGATTCCTGATCGGATTGGTACTTTGTAGGAAACCTATATATATACATACCAAAACCTATGCCCCTGATTATTGTGGTCATGAAATTTTCTTGTGAGATATAGAGCCGATTAGAATTCTAGCTGTGATATGGTTTTTTCGTCCATGCGTAATATTCCTTCGATGGAGGAAGTAGCAGAACCAAAGGAGAAGACAATGGAAGACGATGAGAACTCGTTTGAATTTGCGGATTTCCAGGCTGAGGGTTTACCCATAAACCTTAACTGGGATAGAACTGAGTGGCTTCTCGCGATTGGTAGACTTGAAGGTAGGAGGGCGAAGAGAAAGAAGAGAACGGGGACGAGGTCGCTTCCATTAACGCTTCATCCTCAGCCTTCTAGTCAACCGGAGAAGCCAATTACCAAGACCCACAGTAGTTGCAGTGGGTTAAGGAGGAAGTCTAGATCACCTGCTGATGATCCTGAATGGACCGAACAAAAGAAGAAGACAACAAGGGAAGGCAGCTCAGAGAAGCGGCAACCTAAGGCTGATCATAGTGATGATGATGAGGTAATTCATGATTTACCTGAACGATTCGAGAATTTAATATTGGGAGAGATGAAAGGGAGTGAGCCTGTGTTGGTGATACAAAAGAAGTTGAAGTACACAGACATAAAACGTGATGCGAGTAGATTGTCGATTCCATTGAAGCAAGTAAAGACTGAGTTCTTGACTCCAGAAGAGAAGATATCTCTGAACGGGAATAACAAAAAGTCAGTGGTTATTATTGAACCATCACTTGAGGTATCAAACATTAATTTCACAAGGTGGGAGATGAAGAAGGATAATGGGAAAAGCAGCTTCTCTTATGTTTTCCTCACAGAATGGACGAATCTTAGGATCAGGAACAATCTCCGCGAAGATGATCTGATTCAAATTTGGTCTTTTCGTGTTCAAGGGACGCCAAGTTTTGCTCTCGTTAGGGTTAGTGATAATTAATGTTAATTCCATCAGTTGTAGGGGTTAACTAAGATAGTTTTGGAGAATCATGGTATTTTTGTAAATTTCATTAAGACATTTCAATTTCTTCTCCCACATTCATCAAACATGTGATTAATTGGGGAATCACAAGGAAAGTAGAATGAGATTAAATTCATGTGTATGGAAGTATTTTAAGTAATTAATGACTCTTTTGCTTTTAACTTCAATGAAAATAATATTTTCTGTTGAATTTTATGTAAATATTGTGCCTTCCTTCCTCATAATTTCTTTTTGTTGAAGGCTCCTCCATTATTGACACAACAACATCATATTATCATAATTTGTATCATAAATTTATTTCCTTTTGTTATCATTATCATTATCAGAAACATTGTTTAGTAATAGATCCAATATAATATATATACACATGCACGTTTAACTGCTTGGTTTAGTTGTGGCTTGCCTTTTGCTTATAGGTTTTTCACCATTAAGGTAATTGCCTTTCGTTTTTCGCTTATAACCTTTTTGCTTTATGCTTGTAATTGCGTCTTATATATATGGTAATTAAGTAATTTGATATTATTGACCGTGTGAATAATAAAAGTCTTCATTTACTTTCTCAGCTAATCGATTACCTGCTATACTCTCTGCTGAAGGTTCTTTTTTGACTGGAAAAGAAACAAAGAATCTCTTCCTTTCCTCAAATAAGAAGTTCCTTTAGCATGTTATTGTTTCCTAATAAAATCAATTTTGAGGCCATCTTCCACATGCCAATGATTTTGCAAACAACCTCACAATTTACATATATCATAACTTGGCTACAGCATCGTTCACAAGCTGTTTTCTCAGTATCTTGCCGGCAGCAGATTTTGGAATCGAATTGAGGAAAGCTACTCGCCGTATCTTCTTGTATGGCGCAACCTGCAAACACAAGACTTCAATGTAACAAACTCCTATCCTTTCACTTATTTAAGTACAAAGAAGCCAACACACACACACACACACACACACATATATATGTATGTTTACGCTATAGGAAGCAAAAAACATGCCTGTTGAGCTACAAAGTCCATGACTTCCACCTCCGTGAGATTGCTTCCGTGTTTTCTCACCACATAAGCCATGGGTATTTGCCCTGCTTCTTCATCAGGGTACCTGTTCCCGTATCACACAAACTTCAACTCCATTTTATTCCCATCTAACATAAAACTCCTTGTATAAACCCTGACGAGTAGAACTAGAAGATAAAATCTATGTTTAATCTGTTTCGTATCCTTACATCGATTTCTTAGAGGTGGGAATTCAGTTCTTATGAACTAAAGTGACGGGAGTGAGGAATGCGGGTTCACAACAAATACACAAACTATGTTCAAATTTTCTATTAGTTAAGAGTGTCAGATTAAAGATTCGAAAAAAAAAACAAAGGAAACTAAACCAATCGCGATGTGAATACTCACGGAATGACAGCTGCATCAGCAATCTCAGAATGTGTTTGCAATAAATTCTCCAACTCAGCCGGAGGGACCTGGATTTCAGGATCAATCAGAATGTGGATGCTATGGCAAACAAGTTTGATAAATTGGATCATGAAATGAGGTACAGTTCCATCACCTGATACGCCTTGTATTTGATCAATTCCTTCAATCTATCGACAACATAGAGGAATCCATCAGAGTCAAAATAACAAAGATCGCCAGTCTTTAGCCAACCTTCTGAATCTAAGGTTTCGGTGGTTGCCTTATCATCTCCTACATAGCCTGACATTACCAAAACAATCATGTTGCTTATAAACCAATCGCTTTAACATAAAAGATCAAATTAATGAATGAATGATTTTGTTACTGCCAAGC